TTCTACGTACTGTATACAACAAATTGAAGTGGTCTAGTGGGTGGTTGTCGGTCTAATGGTTTGTGCAACTCGACTTCGAACTACATTTTGTCATTTTGGGTTTGTACAAAGCGAGGCAAAACAATCACTGAACTGTCATCTCTTTCACACAGCTCCACGATTTCATAAATCCTAAACATGGCAGCCACTCGTTTTTAACCCATTAAACATTGTTTTCAACTCTTTTTTGTTATGAAAATGTCTTTTATAGTTGTAAGAACGCAATTTATCTATGTCTTGTTCAGTTTCTGTTTAGAGTACAGAAAAAGCAAAAAAAAAAAAGTGTAGCAGCAGGAAAGGAAGGTCTATATATGAGTCAATTTGTCTAAGCATGTATTGGTTATGGTTACACTTTAGTAAAATTTCACTCAGTTTGTTGATCTATGCATCTACTTCTATAGTTCATAAGGATTAATTTGCTCAATAACATGTGACACAAACATAACTCTTAGATTTAAGGTATTTGGTTAGATTTTTAGTTATTCTTTTTTTTTTTTTGGTTATTTCACATGATTTCCCATTCTTTAACCACAGTTCTGTTTTTTTTTTAATGAAAGCTAGACTTTGCACTTGAGAGGTCCTAAATTAAAGCATAATTTAAAATCTACGTCACATCGAAGGAAAAAATAGGAAATGAGGATAAGAAAAAAAAAAAAAATGGAAGATTCCCACCTGAGACTGAGAGGTTCTATACACCAATTATAACAAGGCATCTTAATAATGTTTCTTTCTATAGTTTTGGATCATTTTCCGTTTTGATTTTTCTAACAAAACTATATAGTGAGTTCAATTTAAGCACCCATGTGAATTCCACTATGCCTTCAAATTTTTCAAAACATGCGCATAACCAATTACGTCGAATAATTTAAACCAACTTTGTACTAAAATAGGGCATAAGAAACGATTAGTTGAATTGAATTTGTTTGTCGTAAAATAGTCTCATCTTTTTTTAAAGAGATTTCTTCCATTGGATTTCGCATTTTACCTTATTGAGCTACACATTGTGCATCACGGAACATATGCTAAGTTTCCTATTGAAAACGTTGCAACCAAATTAGTAGTTTATATTTTAGTTAAGCATATGCTAAAGTTTGTAAAATTTTAAAAAGCTTCAGTAGTGAAACACAAGAAAAAAAGGAACAACTTATGAAATATATTTCAAAAAGACAAACGCACAGAAACGAAAGTATAATAATACCCCAAATTATTGTCTAGCATGCCTAACGATCCATGCATGCAACATTACAACTTGACTAAAATATTCCTTAACGCTTTTAAAGATTGGGTTTGTTGTATCTCTTAGCTTATAACTATACGCGTGATGTTGAAATATATACTTCTTGCAACACTATAACCACCCGATATCATAATCGGATTAAATTCGGAACTTCTTTAGAACCAACGGCACTCATTAATCGACATAAATTTATTTTAATAAACAATAACACTTTTGTACTTTGATATTCTTGAAGACTTTTACGTTAAATTCTCTCTACCTTTTTTTCTTTATCTTTATATCTTAAAACTAAATTAAATTAATATAGTCTATGATAAACATGTCGAAATTTACATACATTTACAACCATAATCGGTAACTAATCCAAATCTCCGACCTACCACTCGATCGATGGAAGAGGATCCACGCGTTAAAATCTTTTAACATAACCAGATTCTCTTCATAAATTGTTAAAGAAAATGTATTGCCCTCTTCTTCTTTTTCTCCCCACTGACCAGATTCTCTAGCCGTACAGTTTCTTGTGTCTATATATATCGAATAGACCAAACAGATTTCAGAACACAAGCTCGAGTTATAGACTGATCGAGAGAAATATACTCATACTATTGTCAATTCAAATATAGGTAAATACTCTACTTCCATATCTGTAAACATAATAAAATAAACTAAGAAACTAATTTGTGTCTATGTTCTGAGCTCACACAGTTGATGGGAAGAAATGGGATCGCCAAAGCACCAAAGCTACTGATAAGGTCAACACCACAACTTTGCTCATCATTCTTCTCTTATCAAATGCTATTAACAACAAAACTCGTCATAAAAATGTGAAAACAACCCCCATAAATAATCGTGTTAAGATTTTAACCTTATAAAAACAAAACAAAAAATTATCATTCGTCGAAACCTAATTAAAATAAATTCATAAGATAAAATAAATTTACCACAATCATTTCTTCTAAAAAAATCTTGTTATTATATAACTAGGGTTGGTGTTAAAAAGAAACTAGGAGTAGTTAAAATGTGTTATGAAGTAAATATAGTTTGTAATAATGGTGATGTTAGGAGTTGGAAGCAATTTCAAGGGCATGCAGGGATCAGCAACAAAGCTGCAAAACCAAATCCGATGGTCGTGGTCGACTACTCTAAAGATATTTCCGATCATAGGGATAAGAGAACAGAGATCAACCGTCGCAGCGAAGAGGAGATTAGTGTTATCAGTTGGATCCCACACCCACGTACCGGAATATTCTTTCCTCCGGGACAAGAGTGGGTGATGAACGACGTCCCTGACGGTGCTGCCGCCTTCGACATAACCTTTTGGCTTAGGAACGTCGACGGTGTTGATAAACCTGATCCTGATCATCACTTTCCTTAATTACTACTAGAAACAAAATTAAATATGGTACTTATTAATTACTACTAATCTTATGACTGAGAAGGGGACTACTACTACCATGTAACTATATTTGAATAATCCTTGGAGGAATGAATATTGGTATACGTACAAACGGTTGATTATATGATCATTTTAATATGATGGTCAAATATGGTTCCATATTCGTTTGTGATGATGCTTTTAATGGTAATTTACGTAGCAACGATTTCTTGTAAAACGATTTCTTATAGATGTGCTCTCAAATTTCAAGTAGAAGAATATGGTGAAAATATATTTTTAATGTTTTCGAAGAAAGAAAAAAGATCAACTGCTTGTTTAATGCCAAAAAACGAAGCCGTTTCACGATGGTCACTTCTAGAGATTCGATGACGTGGTGCATGACGTCACTGTAATTTCTTTCCCTCCATTCGCCGTTTTTTCACTTTCTCTGTTTTTTTTTTTGGAGTCAACTGATTCGATTATCGAAGATCTAAACAATGTATAATTCTAGATTTCTTAAAGATTCGATCATATCTCCTCACAGATAATCGTTGTGATTCACATCTATCCAAATTTATCTCATCTTTTCATGAATAATTCAAGTTTAATCGTTTCTAAAGTCGGATTACGATTCCGGTGACCCGGAGCATGACGACGAGCGCATCGGATCGCTTCTATCCCAAAAAATCTCAGTCGGGTCGATCTCATTCGGATTTAAGATCCGACCCTTGTCATAATCGAGCCTCTCTTAACGGCGATCTCCGCCACCGACGTGATTCCGACGTCTGTGATTCCCTCCGACGCGTCCGACAGTTGTGTCACCGTGTCGGATTCTCTGTAAGAATTGATTCTTCCTAAGGTCTTAGTTTCAGTAGTTGTTTGATTAACATAATAAGCCTTTGTAACTTGCCAGGAACGCAAACCTGTTCTTCGTCATGATCAGAGCAATGCTCAGTGTTCGAGTGAAACTCAATGCAAGAGCAGTTGGGGAAGTTATAGTTTCTCTGAGAGTCTCGAAAGGGACAGACTTTGTAACAGATTACGAGGAATGTCTTTGTCTAGCAACAGGTTTTGACCCAAATTCCTCTGCTTTTGATTTAGTAGTGCTTTATTTGTTTTCAAGATCCTCTGAAAACTGTGTTAAAAGATTGTTCTTGGTGCATTTCTTGTACCACCTGAGTTCATTTTACTTCAGAGATTGATTTCTTGCTTATATGAATTTTTATCCAGGCTACGTAGCTATGTTTCAGCTCATAATGTACCGGTCTTTCATCGAAAAAAGCCGCAACTTAAACCGGAATGCAACAAGAATCGACAAGCCCTGGACGTTACAAACGGTTTACATATGCAGGAAGTTAGCTCATCTGAGGTAAACACTGAGAGCAGAGAGTGTATCTTTTGTTTGGAGAGTCTAGCGAATGGCGAAACGCTTATACAGTTAAACTGCAACCATATTTACCATTCGGATTGTCTTGGTCCTTGGCTTGAGATTCATGGAGATTGCCCTTACTGCCGTAGATTGGTTACTAATCCACATGAACGTGAAGAGGAACCTAAACCACTAATCTTGAATCGGTCTTTGTCTTGGTTTGAAACACTACTAGTTTTCATGGGTTTTGCTGTTACATATTAAGGCAAATTTGTTTTGAATTTGATGCAGTCTGAATCATTTTGGAATAAAAATATCATCATTTACCAAATCTTTATAATTGAAGATAGATAGATGATAGTAATTCAATAATACACCGAATACATAAAGCAAATCATGAAATGTGACTACTCAATCGTGAATAGTCTTCGCTTGGGATCGGTCACACAACTAACTTTTACATGATCATCATCAGCACATGGCTAATTTTCTCCTACTTTTGTTTCTTTAATTTTCTTTTCTTTCTTGTATTTGCTATTGAATCTAAAACTATGCACTCGACCACTTCTATATCATGAAAGCTAACTTGTCTAGCAGAAAACATATTATGACCGATCTTCTCTTACGTGACATCACTACTAGAGCAAAAAAGGCATGCATTTAATATGAATGTTTCAAAAAATCATTGGTGTGGAATATTATGGTTGAACCATTCAAGTAAATTGTTTACATACGGATGATATGTTGCATCTTGTAAATATTTTGCAGTGGTCTTAATTATACTTCGCTCGGTTTATTATAATCGACTATGTTGTAGGGTAAGATTGCTACATGGTATATAATAGTACTAAGATAATCAAAATATAAGATTTGTGATTTTATAGTCAAATTCAATGTGTATTTATTTCATAGGTGGTGGGCACTCCTAGCAGAAAACAAAATATGAAAAGATTTTAAGGATAGTTCAACGTTTGGGGGTGCCCTTAGAGATGGGTAATATTACAAGTCTTCATGGAAATAAATTCTATAACTGTCAACATTCACAATGGCATTATTCACATCAATGAATGACTGAACCCACCCTTTTCATTTCCTTTATTTTTTTGTACAATCACTTTGCCGACAATTTGTTTAATTTTAATTTAAAGCTAGCACAAGGTAACACTAAAAGTGTATTTAGTCTTAAATTGCTTCACAAGTTTAGGGTTGTGTTTTTTTTAATCTTAAATGTTAATTTCATTACAAACATTTGCCTTGGTGTGAATTGAGATATGAAAGTGAAGCATAAGGAGATTGATCTTATTTCTAAAGATATACTGTATGTTTTATATTCTCTATGTAAAAGCTATGTGTTTTCTTAATTTATCTATTTCAATTAGAATCAATTAATTAAATGTGGATTTTTAAAGGGAAATAACTATAGTAGAAGATCAGTTTTGTTATTGATTCTAATTGACTAATTTTATACCTATGTAAGGGATAGTAGTTGCTTATGATATCACTCTTATGCAACTCGGTCCTAAGGAACATGTTCGCCCTTCCAGGTCTCTGGATTCAGGTTACGGTTTCCAGGAATCTCGTGTTTTAACATGTCTTTGGACTCAGTCTATGGCCTTCAAGGATATCGTCTCTCCATTTCTCCGGATCTGGACTCTACTCTTAAGTTAACTAATTTTATACCTAATTTGGCTGAGTCAACATAAGTTTGTGTATTTTATAACTCATTAAGAAATTGGTATTTTTTGGCTCAAAATG